ACACACACACTCACTCACTCACTCTCTCACACACACACACACTCACACTCACACACTCTCATACACACCCTCACACACACACTCACTCTCTCACACACACACTCTCACACACACACTCACTCACTCACTCTCTCACACACACACACACACACACACACACACACACACACACACTCACACACACACACACATACTCACACACACCCTCACACACACACACACACACACAGCAGTATAAGAGGCAGGCGTCTGCCGCTCATCTGCAGAAGGAGAGACTCCAACAGACGGAGCATCACTAGTCTGACAGAAAGAACTCAGAGGTCAGTGACTGGAACTTTATTCTGCTGATTTTACACAACTGGTCTGTTCATACTTCTCTTGCTTTTGTAATAGACAAAGCAATAAAAGATTAAATATCTACAATACCTTATAAAGTAACAGCTAAAACATTTACTCATTTACAAGCTTAATTCTATTTATTTTGGAGTAAGTAGTTATTTAGTTCATGCTTCATGACCGTAATACATAGAAAAAGAAGAAAAAAATCTGATAATGCATTATAATAGACACTATTAAATCAAGTTCAAATTTGCCTATGCTTAAAGAAATCTCCACAAGTCTTACCTTTGTGTGGTGTGGAAGTTTGGAGCACAGCATCAGCCTCTGCTTTCATCTTAAACCTCAAATACTGAGAACAATGAAGTACGTAAATGAACTTTAATGAACAGAGTAGGCAACATGTATTAAGCTATATTAAAATGAAATACAATGTACAGTCAAAACTGCATGCATGTATATTAAATGTTTGCACTATTCATTTAAATTATTTGCAGACGTATTGTGTATAAGCCTCAATCTAGGCTGAAGTGTTACTAGACAAACTGTCTCATCGCATGATCCTCAGAAATCAGAAGAAAAGTGGCTGTTAGTTTTTGTGGGAGTGTTGAACAGGCTTCAGACGGATGTAACATTATCCGATCGGGGATTTTCCTCTGAGACCTCGCAGATTCTTCATCTAGCTCGCAACTACTGTTACTCTGAGTAACTTTTTCCAAAGCTTTGTCTTGGTTTGGGAGTCTGTTTGCATTCTAGTATTGTTGAATTTAATGTTTAGTGGCATGGTAACAGAACACTTTCCTCACTCCTTCTGTTTTCTTGACTTTGTGTAAGAACACACACTGCTGCCAAAGCAGTTTATATAATGGAAAATACTAAAGCAGCCAGTCCTGAACATTTTCCGCAAACCACAGGAATAATGCTGCTCAGTGTTTGTAACATTGTGACTGAATCATCAATCATGCTGGTCCTGCTCTATTTAAGGCTGCAGTCGTGTCAAATACATGCAACTACATCACCTTCTCCCTTTCTCCTTTCTCTCAAAGGCTTTAGTGAACCTATGCTTTTTAAATTAATCTGTAAGTAAAGCTGCATTAAAGATGCTAAATCATTACTGACGTTTAAAAGCCAGTTCTTATAAGCGAAGCAGTATTCAGCACTGAAACATTGCATATTACATATATGAACTATGAATCATTTTGAAGACAAATTTCCACTTTTGAATGACTCCAATCCATACGTATGCTGAAGGAGTCACTCAGTTTCTTATAGAGACACCAACCTTTCATGGTTGAGGGGCATAGAAGGGAAAAACTGGGCCACTAATGAGATGGAAAGCAAACTCGCCTGACCCTGAGCTGTGAGGTGGAGTGTAGCATGACGGGTAAACAAACCACAGAATGTAGTCTGCAAAACTGTCTGGCACCAAAATCTACCCTCAAACACAAACAGTTAAAATAAACATTCTGACATCATTTGAGTTTGTTCTTCTGTGAAACACAAAAGAAGATGTTGTGCAAAGATGTCTCTGTGTGTAAAACTAAAAATAACGCTTTCCACCGCAGCTGTCAGATCTCATTTGTGCCTGAGCATATTCAGACTTACACTAGTGTTAATGACGCTAAACACTGTTGCTTCTCATAAATCTGACAGACTGAATGTGAAACAGTAACACTTATTTATAAAGCACATTAAAAAAAACATAAACTGATCCAAAGTGGAACAGATAGATGTAAATAATTAGAAAATCTGAGCGCTCTAGCCTACTCAACCCTGAATGTAAGCCAGTGGAGGAACACTAATAAAAGGAAAGTATGGTCCTAGATGTTTTTAGAATGTGTCAAAAGCCTTGTGGCTGCATTTTGAACAAGTTGCAAGCGAGATGATGTAGATTGGGTTACAGTAATGGATGACTACTTCCAAATCTTTGCTTGACAGAATATGCTTTAGTTTTGCAATAAAGTCATGTCAAAGAAGTCAAAGATCACTCCAAGGTTTTTGTAAATTTAAAGTGGAACTAACTGGACTTTTAGGACAGGTAAAGAAGAGATGGGACAACCTAAAATCAAACATTTGCTTTATCTTCATTAAGCTGCCAAAAATTGTTCACCATCCAACTCTTAATATCATTAATGCACTTGAACAAGACATTAAATGAAAATGTAGTGCCAGGCCTTACTGGAAGGTAAAACTGGGAATCGTTTGCATAACAGTGATAATCAACATTATTTTCCTGAAGAATGTAACCAAAAAGGAAGTATATAAACTAGATCTATAGATCTCAGATCTCCTCTCTGTATATAAACGGGAACTAATAAAGGTCCCAAAACGGATCCCTGGGGCACGCCACACAATAAAGAAGCAGATGATGAAGAAAAATTCCCAAATTTACAAAAAAAGGTCCTGTTCTCAAGGTAAGAAGCAAACCCTGTGCAGTGCCCTAGATACCTACCATATGACATCAGTGAAGAATATAAAGGCCAATGGTATCAAATGCCATGTTCAGACCCAACAAAGCAAAAGCAGCGCATGAGCCTTAATCTAGATCAAGCAACATATAATTTGTGATTATATAGGGATCTAAAACCAGATTGAAACAACCAAAAAATTAAAAGAATTAAAAAAGACAAAAATATTTTCAAACATATTACTTTTCTAGTACTTTCAAAACACCTATTTTTTGGAATTAAATGTATAATGATGGATTATAATTGTATGATAATGATTGTAATTATTGTGTTACCGTCCAACCCTGTCAAATCTAAGCCACAGATGTACAGCACCATAAGTAGAGTCTATATGACTCTGTGCTGTTGTTTTATCTCAGGGTTCATGGGTCAGATCTCCTCTCTGCTGCTATGAGTCCTCATGCCTGGATCTTTTGCGCCCTTCTCTTCGTCCTCACTTGTGAACAGAGCAAGAGTGCATACAAAGGGCCCGTCCTGAGCCGAAAGCGGAGACTGGTAGAGGACGCAGCCGATGGGGCCCCGAGAAAGTGCTCTTATACATTCTTGGTCCCAGAGCAGAAGATCACGGGGCCGATCTGTGCCAGCCAGGGCCCTTCTCTGCCAGATAAAGAGCGCGTGACGCAATTAGATATAGCTGACGTCCGGGAGCTCCTGACCAAGCAGAGACGTGAAATGGACACACTCCGGATGATCGTGGACGTGGATGGAAACATGGTTAACGAAATGAAACTTTTACGCAAAGAGTCACGCAACATGAACTCCCGCGTCACCCAGCTGTACATGCAGCTGCTGCACGAAATCATTCGCAAGCGTGATAATTCACTGGAGCTGGCGCAGCTGGAGGGACGGATCCTCAACAGCACAGCCGAGGCGCTGCGGCTGTCCACCCTCTACAGGGAGCTGGAGGTGCGCTTCTCCTCGCTGGCCGCGCTGGTCAATAACCAGTCACTGCTGATCGCAGCTTTGGAGGAGCGATGCCTGCAGGTGTACGGGAATCACAGACGAGAGCCGCTGCCTCCGCCTCTCGTGCAGGTCGTGCCTGAGAACATCCCCGTGTACGTGCCTCGCTTCTCTAATGAGATCCAGAGGAGTCAAGGCTGGCCCGTTCCAGAGGACAGGAGTTCCAGAACGGCTCCAGCACCCACAGGAGGTTCCCCTCAGGGGAACATCAGTCTGGAGGGTAATGAAGTCATTACACAGCAAAACACACAGCATCTGTGTTTGCCAAACGACACTCTTGTCATTTCCATTAGTGTCACTAAACTGCATTGAAAATTAACACTCATATGCACACCAAACATATCACATTTAAAGAATAAGTCACATTTAAGCAATAGAATCATCCTGAAATACCAGAGGCTGCTGTATCAGGACTGCATTTCTAGGACCCTAGTTATTTTGTGTGACAGCACCACCAAGTCAATTCTACTCAATCAGTCCTGATTCTAACCTGAAACAAACAGGTGCAAAGACTAGACCCATTAGTATTATATTTTAAATAGTCTTTTCATGTTGTTTTTTGTTTGTTTTGTGTTTTTTTATGTAAGAGCAGCGCAGCCATTTGTTACTTTGATGTGCAAGGCCTTTGGTGTTTGTCACTTCCAGTTATTTTAGCTGTACAAAACTCTGTTAAGATGTTTGATATTCCACAAGTTTAGTTTACTGAGACATGCAAAATAATCAGACAATGAAAAGTAATTGCAAACGTATGTACCTCAAAGAGTAGAGCATTGTGCTTGCAATGTCAAGTTCATCAGTTCAATTCCCACGGAAAGCAAGAACTAATAAAATGTATACTTTGAATGCATTGGATAAAAACATCTGCCAAATGCATAAATGTAAATTAAGAGCATATCAGAAATGTGCAACATGTAATGTACAAAAGCCCAGCAAAACATTTAAACCATAGGCCTGTGCAGAATATTACTCAGTCAAGAAAACTGAGCTAGTTCTCTCTTGTTAGCTGCTAACCTTATACACATAAACAGGTATCTGGTAATCTATATCTGAAAGGCAGAAGAGCATAACTGAAGATATATGTCAGTATTGAAGAGGTTTGTTGATGCTCGTTGCTCATCAGCGGTGTGTGTTCACTCACTTGTGTGTGCTGGTGTCTCGAGGTCCCTTTCGGGACTGTCTTCAGGCGATGCAGGCTGGACACTCCACCAGCGGGACGTATCTTCTGAAGCCGGACGGGACGGAGACACCTGTACAGGCCTGGTGTGAGCACGACGTGGACAGAGGCGGCTGGACGCTTATCCAGAGGAGGAAGGATGGATCTGTCAACTTCTTCAGGAACTGGGACAGCTATAAGGTAGCGATGTCTGATTCACAATGAATCACTCTTTTGAACCAGTTCTTTTGAATGATTCAGTACCAGATGACTTTGTCATCAAAAACAGAGAGATAAACGACAATATTCCAATGAAAATGAGACAAAAACACATGGTGGAATAACAGTGCAATCTTTGGAGAATATTAAAAAGCAATAGAGAGCTCCAGTGGTGATGCATTTTTGTAAGCAAACCCATAAGTTTGCATCACTCTGGTTCCCTTGACAAAAACCCAAAAGGATTTTTCCTTTTGCTTCTGGATTATTGCAGATAATATGCCCTGTGAAAAGTTTATGAAAAAAAAGTTTATGATTGTTATATGTTTTGTTTGCTGTCCAGGTTCATTGAAATACATGCTTCTAACTAAGTTTCTGCAAAACTCAAAATACTTACCTATACGTACAAATCGCTGCAGTTTCCAGTTGAAATGAACACTCTGACAACTTTTATTCCTTTTCACACAAAGTATGATTTACAGGGCCGGACTTTTGATTAAGAAAGCCTAATTTTCTCTCAATTCCTTGTACAATATTACAGTATGTTATGACCTCACAATGATTTTAGCATGCTGCGAGATTTGAGAACAGGCACTTTTGAACATTAGCGTTGCATGTCCAGCTTCACATGTATAGGTAACGCAGTAGGTTTGCTTGGTAGTGTTGCACTTGTGAGATGAAGCACTCTGGTACGAATCCTGTGAAACTATGGTTCGACAAAACAGCTCAAACTCGAGTAGAGACACATTAAAATAGCACTGCTGCATCAGCAAATTCCTGTACTAACATAGCAAAAACATGGCCACGGTCAAATATTGAGTGTGTGTTTTAGCACCACTTGCGGGATATTTCACTTTAAAATGTATTTATTTAACTTTAAAACTGCCACGAAACATGCTATAAGACACATTATATCAATGCTGCAGAAACTGCCACAAGCACATATTTTCAATGAGCCTGGGTTGTTTGTTCATCGTTATAATATTCACAAATGAACACAACTTTTATGAATTTAAAAAAAATTTTTTTAAGCTTAAAGACAATTGGCAGAATTAAAAAGCTAAACAATAATGAATGAACTACACCACAGTCACATTACTTCAACATCACCAAAATTAAACAAATATTTCTGGAAGTTTGAGTAAGAACAGTCTGATTCGAAACACAACGACTAGTGAGTAGATGAGTTTATCTGTTTGGCATGATGGTGTTCAGTGTCCTGACAAAATCTGTAGTGCCATTTAGACACTTTTCAAGACAAGTAAAAGCTTAAAAAACACACACGCAGATAATCATGATGTATTTTATGTCATAGAATAAAACATGGAAATATTTTGATCTTGTGTTCAACACAGACCTCATTTCAGGCATTTAACCAAAAACCCATTAAACACCCACTGACTTCAGGACGATGGAACTGGAGGTGCTAAAATGCAACTGGTGTCCAGGTTTGGGCCTACAAAAACACCTCATCCCCTCAGCACTCTATACAGACAATTGAACTATTATATGAGTTAGACCGTGTCTCTATGAGCTGCAATTTGCACATTTTCTTCAGCAAACGGACCTTCGTGAGCCGCTGTCAGAGAATCAGACTGACGTTGCTGGTGATGACGATGGAGCTCCTAAACAGATGGATCTGGTTCTCAGGATTTGCGCCTCGCGTCCGTTTGTTTTGATTGCACTCGTGCCCGTGTGTCAGTGGTTCTTTCATTCTGAGCCCCCCCCCCCCCCCCCACACACACACACACACACACACACGCACACGCACACGCACACACACACACACACACACACACACACACACACGCTCATGCACACGCACACTCACATACACACACACACACACACGCTCATGCACACGCACACACACTCACACACACACACACCGCAAACACACACACACACACGCTCATGCACATGCACATGCACATGCACACACACACACACACACACACACGCTCATGCACACGCACACATACTCACTCACACACACACTCACACACACACACACACGCACACACATACACACACATACACACACACACACACACGCTCATGCACATGCACACACACTCACACACACAGAGGGCGAAGCCAAAGCGTTCGATGAGCTGCTGCAGGTGTGTTTGCGCTGTAACTAAACTCACTCATGCTTACTGCTGTAGTGAAATAATAACAGTTGGCTGCAGTATGTGCGGAAATCAGAAGTGATGTCTTTAACATCCCTCATCGGCCCAAAACCCCGTTGTTCAAAGAAGCCTGAGGTTACTTTGCATTTCCAGTATTTCAAAGGTAAAATGTAGTGCTAATGATAACAGCATCCAGTGACTGCAGTAAGTGATGTTTTATTAACAAGTTTCGGGAGGAGCGCGTGTAGATAATTAACACGGCCAGTTCATCATCAGTAATTACACCATCTATCCAATCAGCACAAGAGAGAACCTCTATAAATAATCAAAGCAGCCTTACCTCCATTATCTCCTGTCTTTAGCATCCCTCCACCACCCCGACTCCTCACCTTCAGCCCGTTCCTACCCCAGCACGGGGAGGAACACTCGGGGGGAGCATTCTGGATTAAGCCCGGACCCCTCTCCCCGGACAGGGGGAGTACCCTGGGCTCGAGAGTAATTACCGAGCTCGGAGCCCTCTCCCCGGACAGCACGCCAAATACGCATAACCTTTACTCGGTTCATTATAAGTAAGTGTGAACTCGTGAAATAGCTGTGTTCAGCTCTCTTTTTCTTGTCCTCCAGAAAGGCTTTGGTGAAGTGGATGGTGAACACTGGCTGGGTCTGGAAAACATCTATAACCTGGGCAAACAGGAAGACTACAAGTTGCTGGTGGAGCTGGAGGACTGGATGGGGAAGAAGGTTTACGCGGCCTACAGCAGCTTCCACCTGGAGCCCGAGAGCCAGTCGTACCGCCTGCGTCTGGGAACCTACCAGGGCAACGCTGGGGATTCACTGAGCAGCCATAACGGCAAGCAGTTCACCACGCTGGACCACGACAACGACGCCTTCTCAGGTGATCCTTCACCACACGTGAGATTGTTTATGGCGTGTCATTATAAACCCTGGGTCATTGTGGGTCATTCAAACTGAGTTACATATGGTACATCATTCAGAATGACAGGTTTACAAGGACAACAACAATACTATGCTAAATAAGTCTTGTTTTCCAGTGCAAATATCTGAAGAACAGTCAAGATATATATTTGGCACTATATTGCCAAAAGCATAGGGACACCCCCTTCTAATGAACAGGTTTGACTACTTTAGTAATTTCCATGAATTTCCAGTTTTGGAAGTGTCTAAAATTACTGTAGCCATAAGTACAAGTCACTGGTGTTTGCTGATGAGTTTTTGGCTGGAGGTCTGCATTTAAAGTCACAGCAGACCAGACCAGTTCTTCCACACTGACTCAATCAATCATTTCTTTTGAACCTTGTCTTGTACACAGAGGCATTGTCATGTTAGAATAGAAAAGGGTCCTGTCCAAACTGCTGCTATAAAATTAGAAGCACACAATTCCCAGGAATATCATTATATGCTTCAACATTCAGATTTGTACTCATGGAAATTACTCAAGTAGTCAAACCTGTTCATTAGAAGGGGGTGTTCCAATA